TGTGTGTGTGTGTGTGTGTGTGTGTGTGTGTGTGTGTGTGTGTGTGTATGTGCATGTGTATATACATACACACACATACAGGCCAAACAAATAAACATAAAAAGTTATGATTCTTAATGATATTTTGCTATACCCATAGATCAGTGCCTAGCCCTATCATAAGAGAGGCTTCCTCCTGTCTCTCTTATGATGGGAACAGGTGAAGAGACACCAAATTCAAGACCTCCTTCGGGTTCCCCCCCTTGGAGCTCAAGGAACCTCACAGGAGAGGGGAGGAAGAACTGTAGGAGCCTGAGGGGTGGTCAAGGATAATCAGAGAACACAGCCCACAGAATCAACTAAGTAGAGCTCATAGGGGCTCACAGAGACTGAACCAACAACCAGGCGGCCCATATGGGTCTGACCTAAGTCCTCTGTATGTTTATTATGGTTGTGTAACTTGGTATTCTTGTGAGACTCCAAACAGTGGGAATGGGAGTATCTCTCTTTCGCCCGTTCTTGGCTCCTGTTCTTCCTCCTACAGGGTTGCCTCATCCAGCCTTGATATGAGGGTTTGTGCCTAGTCTTACTGTATCTTGTTATGCCATAGTCAGTTGATATTCCTGCTCTTTTCTGAAGAGAAACAGAGAGGCAAATCTGGGGAAGACAGGACAGGGGACACAGGACTGGGAGGAGTGGAGTGAGGAGAAACTGTGGTCTGGATATACTGTATGAGGAGGAAAAATACACACACACAACACACACAAACAAGATTTTGTTTGTTTTTTCCGGACAGGGTTTCTCTGTGTAATAAAGCCCTTGGCTATCCTGAACGTGCTCTATAGACAATGTTGGTCCACCACACAAACAACATAAAACGAAGAGACTATTTCATGGAATGGGTGAAGAGCCATTTACCTTACTATGATCCCTCTCATTTTCACTCATTTTCAGGCAACTAAGGTTTTTTGTTTTGTGTAGTTAATTATCCTCCTGTGAAAAAGTATTAGGCTCAAATATCTGACATTTTGGAAAGTTATTAAAATTTTGTGATTCCCTAAGAGTTTAGATCATGTCCTCCCATCCAGAGAGCATACAAATTTATGTATTTTATATTATTCTTAATTTATGACTTCACTTTAGCCACAGTCTCAGATATATAGTTTGTTCTTGACAGTTTACTTACTACTCTAGATCGGTTCCCAGTTTCACAGCTATGTCTTCATATTCCTGTCTGCTTTTAGCAATGAGCTCAAGACATCCTAGACAAGTGAGCTGAGAAGCTGCAACTCGAGAAGCAAGAGTCTCTCCTAGAAGGGAAAAAGATAGTAATCGCACATCTTAGAACTAAGTCACATAATCATCATTGTTTATTGCATTTAAGTATCCACACATTACAGATGGAGAAGATGGTGCCAAGTATTCAGGTCTGAGTAAGTCCCATTTTCTATCATCCTGTCTTAATCACTTCTACTACATACAAGTTCACCTTTAAGCATCCCACTCTTGACCCAAAAGAAAATTTTTAATGAATAAAGAAGAGTGAAGATTTTATCAGTCACTAACCTGGCATAGTTACCATGGGTGTTCCTGCCCAGAGAACATCCATCCCTGTGGTGTGCCCATTACACAAAGGAGTATCCAGGCAGACGTCAGCCAGCTGACCTCTCCTGACATGCTCCTCTTTAGGAGCCACAGGTGAGAAAATGATGCGGTTCTGGGGAAGGCCCATATTTTGTGCATATTGTTGAATATTGGGTTCTCCTACTGCAGGAAAACGCAACAGCCAAAGCACGCTATTAGGCACACGTTTCAGAATCTTAAAAAAAAAAAGAAAGAAAAGAAAAAGGAAAATGAGAAGATTAATAGTACATCTGCCTTTCCCAAAATTATTCTACTTTACTTTATTCTTTCCACTGAAAAGTATACTTGGGGTCTTGAGATATATTCCTATTGGGAGAGCTTGGCCAGCACTCAAAAAGTCCTGTGTTTAATTCCTAACATCACATGATCTGGAATTGTGGCACGCACCTATAATCCTGGCAGAGCTGAATCAGGAGGCTTCTATATTCAAGGAGACCCTGTCTCAAACAAGGAAAGAAACCTGCTTGGGACATAAGTCTTTCCTTCAAAGAGATGAATTAAATTATTCGAGTTTTTCCTTTTCTCTTAGCTGTCCCCAGAGTGTTTGAAGACAGAGAAAAGAATATTAGAAGACAAAAGCCAACTTACTAGCAGGTACAATCTGAAGCAACTATATGTGGCAGGAACTAATACTGGCAGTGGTCTTTATTAAAGATGGGAATTTGGGGTGTCTTTGTTTGCTTTGTTAATTTGCATGTTGAAAAATCTTTTAAAAATTCCATGTGTGTGTGAAGAGAGAATTTTCACCCTCCATTTTTCACCCCTCCCATTTTTGCTGACTCCCCCTACCTTCACGTATATTGTTACTGCTTTTGTATTTACAATCCACTGACTTTAACTGGGATTGCTTGCATAAGAATGGAGAAGTAATATACTGGGGCCTTGGTAAATTACCACCACAGAAAATGATTCTCCATCTCCCAGTAACAACTGTTGCCAATAGTTCCTAAGGGAGGGGTGGGACTGTGTAAGCTTCTCCCATATTTTTATTTTTAAGGAACAGGGTCTCATTAAGTTTTCCAGGCTGGCCACAAACTCAAGGACTCAAGCAATTCTTCTATCTCAACTCTCAGCATCAATACTGTAAGTCCAGTTCCACCAATGTCCTTTTCTGTCTTTCGTAGGTAACCAAGTAAACATGCAATCATATTGACTCCTCTTCCTGAAGACCTGGGTTTAATGCCAAGTACCCACATGGCAGTTTACAGTGTCTGTAATTCCTGTTCCAGAGATCTGACACCCTCACACGACATACATGTAGGCAAAACATCAATACACATAAAATTAAAAAAATATATTTTTTAAAAAAGTTGTTGACGTCTGGACAGAAACATTTTAAATTAAAAAAAAAATGCTTTATAGCATGAAATTTTAAAAATCACAAAACTGGAGCCAGGTGTGATGATGCAAATACCCTATAGCAAGTCCTAGGACAGCCAGGACTATGTAGAAAGAGCCTGTCTTTAAAAATGAAAAGAAACACAACAAAAGACTGGGGACAGGGGCTGGAGACATGGCTCAGTGGTTAAAAGCACTGGCTGCTCTTCCAGAGGTCCTGACTTCTATTCTCAGCAACCACATGGTGGCTCACAACCATCTGTCATGGGATTTGGTGCCCTCTTCTGGTGTGTCTGAGGACAGCAACAGTGTGCTCACATACATAAGATAAATAAATAAATCTTTAAAAGAGGACTGGGAACAAAGCTCACTGGCACAAAGCTTGTCTACTGTGTATCACACACCCTGAGCTTGATCCCCCAACACTGTGGGGAAATAAGACAGCATTAGAAGGTGAAATACAATAAACTGGCTGTGGACATAGCTCAGTTGGTACAGTGACTTGCCTGGCATACAAGGAATCCTGGATTAATTCCCAGCACTTGAGAGTTAGAGGTAGAGTGACTACAAGCTCAAAGTTACCCTCTGCTATGCACAAGGCCAGCCTGGGATACATGGGACCTCATCTCAAAAACAACAGTACAAATAACATACAGACTGAGTTGGTTGTATTTATGTATGCATTTAAGAGTACACATGAATAAGCACAACACACATATACGCACCACCAACAACAACAACTACAACAACTACTACTACAAGAATAAAAGCAACAACAGCTAAAGAAAAAGCCATGAATTTGAAAGAGAAAGAGGAATATGCATGAGAGTTTGGGGGAGAAATAGTATTATTTATAATGTCAAAAATAAACTATTTAAAACTGAAAAATTCGCAACTCTTGAAGATTAGAAATGAGTACAACAGTACATAAACAAAATGGGGGTGGGAACCTTCAGCAAGATAGCCCATATAGATAATCTTTACTATCAGTGGGCATTAACAAATCTACACATACTCACATTTGCCCACATCTGCAGGGTAGAAGGGTCAATTTTATATAACTGATTAAAGTTACAGTACACAATGGCATCTTCTGGTAGCCCATACTGGGAACGGGTGGTTACAATAATGGTACGGGGAACTTCCTCTCCAGTTGCAGCCTTATTATTGATCTAGAATAATGAGAAGAACATGATGATTAAATTTAGAGTTAACACAGGCTAAGAGAGTTGTAGATGTAGTTTAGCTGGTATAGGGCTTGCCAAGCATGCAAAAGACCCTGGTTTTGATTCAAGTACTGCATAAAACAAGGCATGGTGGTATACTCATCTATAACTCTAGCACTCAGGACATAGATGTAGGAGGAACAAAGATCAAGGTTTGAAGCTAGCCTGGGCTATATGAGAACCCCACTCAACAGAAGCCTTTACAAAAAGGGACAAGCTAAGGGATGGGGCTATATCTATATAGCAGAGTACTTATCTAGAATGCCTAAGGTCCTGGGCTTGACCCAATACATACATACATACACACACACACACACTTTACTCTCTTCTGAACCAACACCACACACACACACACACACACACACACACACACACACATTTTTCTTTCTTTTCTGAACCAACACCACACACATACACACACACACACACACACTCCCTCTCCCCCCTCCCTCCTCTCTGCTTCTCTTCCTCTCTCCTCTCTGCCCCCTCACAGTGGTATATCACTATGCAAGGCTTGGTCTTTTTTGTTTAAGACAGGGTCTCATGTCGCTTTCGGTGTCCTGGAACTTGGTATATAGTCCAGTGTGGCCTCCAATTTAAAGGCAGGTAGGTTTCTTATGACTTTGATGCTAGCCTGGTCTAACATTTTATTTAGATGGACGGATGGATGTAAAAAGGCTATTATCATTAGTTTGATTTAGGAGAAACTTACTGCCTTAAAAAAATTCTTTCTTTAGTCAAGATACTGAAAGGGCAGGAGAGCTGCCAAGCTTTAGAAGCCTGGGCTAAATAGCCAGATCCTGTCTCACAACAAACAAAACAAACAAAACACAAGGGCTGGTGATGGTAGCCTTTAATCCCAGCACTTGGGAGGCAGAGGTAGGCAGACATAGAGTTCATAGAGTTCCAGGACAGCCAGGGCTGCCCAAGAAAAACTTTATCTTTAAAAAAAAAAAAAAAAAAAAAAAAACAGAAATAATTAAAAGCCGAAAACCAAGAGTAAGCTTTGACTTTTTACTGTTCATGGATAAAATGGCCTTCTCCAAATCACACTCACTCTCCGAGACAAGTCTCAATTACTCCCCTAAGACTCTCCTCACACTGAGGGGCAACTTCAACTATAGTCTATTTGCAAATCCCATACTTTTGTCTTACACTGTCACATGAGTATGGACATCTCAGTAAAATTGCTAACACCTTAGAGGTCTAAGATTCCTACCCTTTTCCACTCTTATTGATAGAGCTATATCTATTTACCTAATCAAGAATATAATCTATACTCATGGAATATATACTATAGTACAGTGGTTAAGACATGAGCTCTGGCCAGGCAGTGGTGGCGCACGCCTGTAATCCCAGCACTTGGGAGGCAGAGGCAGGCGGATTTCTGAGTTCGAGGCCAGCCTGGTCTACAGAGTGAGTTCCAGGACAGCCAGGGCTACACAGAGAAACCCTGTCTCGAAAAAAACAAAAAAAAAAAAACAAAAAGACATGAGCTCTAATGTCATTCCATCTGCTGAAAGATACAAATACAAGGAATAACACTGCACTGTGCTGAATATAATGTGCCCCCAATCCTACAAAAGCACAGCAAGCAGGTACCAATGAGTATGGAAAAAGAGACTAGAGATTAATACAGAAACTGGTGACTTTAAGATCTGAAGAAAAGGCTGTGTAGGATTTTGCCACGGAATGGGTGAGCTTACAGAAGCAAAAACCATATGGTGCCTAAAGAGAGTAATGGCATAGACAGGCAAAAACAAAGTATTAGCACAGTAGGTGCTCAATAAGGAACCTGATGGCTGAAGCCAGATGACTTTTAAAACGAGTCATAGCTACGAAAGAGCCAGTTCCCAATAATCTTCTCTCTTAGGCTGTAAGGCTTATAGAAAAAGATGTGTGTATGTGATTCATAATTACAGCTTTTTTACCTGTGTAGTAGCCAGTCCATTGCTAATACTAAATCCATTAATTGTTATCTGAATCTGTCCTCTGTTAATCATTTCAATTACTGCTTCTGCAATCGTATTCATGGGAATAACAGGCATATTAAGAGCTGTGTTACTGCTTTCTGCATTGTCACCTCCATCAGGACATTTCATCTGAAAAAAAAAAAAAGACAAAAGTGCACTGTAAGAAAAAAAAAATCACAAATTCAGTTTGTTTCACTGACAAATGCTCACTAGGTTCTGACCTTGACAATCTTCACATCAGGTAGACTGTCGAGAAATGCTTTGAGATCGATGCCATTCAGAACTATCCGATTGTCATAAATGTGCCCATTGGATTTAAAATCGATGACTGCTTTTTTCTAATGGAAAAAGAAATCAGATATCCCTTTTAGTAAAGCTGCATATGGACAACAACAAAGGGAGAAACAAACAGTTCTCTGGATTTCCTCGTACTATTGTTTTCTACTTACCTTCAGGTGAGGGAACATATTAGCATGATCACCAATAAAGAAAGTATGGGGCATATATGCCAGTTTCTCAGAATACTGCTCTGCAACTTCAGCTGGGGAAGTTTCCTGATCAGTGATGATGTAATCCATGAACAATGCACCACTAGTCCCAGGGTAGCCCAGCCACATAGCCTTTAAAAAAAAAAAAAAAACAGACCAAAAACTAACAACTTTTATCCATCTGTAAACCTACCAACTTACTGCAGATATAGCAACCATCTCCCAAATAAGCTTTTCAAAAGAGGCTCTCCATCAAAAGGCTTCCAAATCATATATGTAAATAAATAAGACAGGCTGGTTTCATTAGCCAAGAGCAATCTAGCAGCCTTTCCAAGTAACTTTGTTGTTAAGGTGTTCTTCAAATGTGTTAGACAGAGGAGCTGTTACTATAAAACCATGGAATGCCTGTCTCCAATGACATTTTACTGGTAGACACTATGTCTACACTCAAAAATCTATCATCGTCCATCCCAAGAACACTCTTTTAAAATCAAAAATGTCTATTTTGTTTGAGAGCAGTTAGCCAGATGGAGAAAAACCAAAAACTATTATCTTTTTAGTCCAATAGATATTGTGAGTGACTCTTCCTTTACCTGAATAGGAGCTGGCCTGAGAGCAAAGAGCTCATTTCGAGCACCCTTGGTATACCCATTCATATTCACAAGGATGTGAATTCCATCTTGGTGGATGCGGTCAGCTGCTTTTCCATTGCACGGAATCTATGGAATAGATAGCAAGAACGATGTAGAATCTTAGATTAATTCCATTTTTTTTAAGGAATGAAATTAAACAGAATTTTAGAGACCTAGATGAAAACAAGATGGGAAAGCTAGGGATAGTGGTTCACTCTTGTGTCTCAGTACTTGGGAGGTAGAAGCAGGAAGATCAGAAGTTGAACACCAGCCTTGGCTACAAGAGACCTGTCTCAAACAAGCAAACAAAAAAGGAGATGATGTGTAAAGATGCCTTGTCATGCAGGAACAAATGGCTGTCCAATTTATTAAAATGCCTGACAACTGCACCCAGGCCTTGCATACAAATAATGGAGCATACAGTGAGCACTCTAGCTGATGATAAATACATCCCCCCTTTTCCGTCAAAAGAAAAAAATCGCAAAATGGTAGATCTGATCATCCTTGTGTTGTGAACTTAAAAAGAAAAAAATCAGAAAATGTTAAGGAAGCAAATGGTTTGTATCTTTGTAAGTACTTTAAACATGGCATATCTTTTGTTTATCAATATTCATTCTGTACTATAGCCATTGTTTCTGTAGTTTCATTAAAGTGTTTCCTTGGTGTTAGCTTTTCTGAGGAGAAAAAAAAAAAGATGAAAACCATGTCAATGAACTAAGTTAATGGAGGCAACATAAGAGTTCAGGACCACTATAATATCAAAGCACTAAAGAGATAGAAAATACCAACTACAAAAGAGAGAGAGAGAGAGAGAGAGAGAGAGAGAGAGAGAGAGAGAGAGAAAATAAAATCTATCTAAATTGAATGGCTTAGTAACAGAGTTCCAGAAAGGAGCTAGTATTCAAAAGCACATTATTACAAGCCTGGAAGGCAAGCATTATGAGTCTGCATCAGCCAGAGCTAAATACTTGGACTCTGTCTCAATAAATAGACAGAGAGATAAAAAATAACTAGAAGTTTGACATAATATAGTCTCAATGGGAAATGTTATAAAAGGAGGATTATAGCAGACTCAGTAAGAGTGCTTGCTATGTAAGCAAGATGACCTGAGTGTGGATTCCAGTATCCATATTAAAAAAAAAAAAAGGCAGATTTGGCCAGCCACACATATGCACCTCAAACCTCAGGTCTGTGGAGGTTGGAGACAGGAGAATGCAGAGTTTACTAGCTTCCAGCCTAGCCCCAGGTTCACCGAAAGACCCAGTCTTAAGAAAATAAGGCTCAATCAAGAATAGTACAGCAAGATCTCCAGGTGACTGAGCATGCCTGAACTTATTTTTGAGGCAGGGTATCTAGCCCAGGCAGACCTTGAACTCTCTGTAGCCAAGAATGACCTTGAACCCTGATCCTATAGTCTCTGCCTCAACCTCAAAAATGTTGAGATTATAAGTATAAGCCATACCATCCAGTTTATGCAGTACTACAAATCAAATCCAAGGTTTTGTGTATAACAGGAAAGCACTATACTACATTAACTACATCCCCAATCCAATGGCTTATATTTATACATGTGTGTTTACATGTAAATATATGCATACTTATGCATATTCATGTCTAAAGGTATCATTTCTTTACTGGTCACCCATGTGAATAATAGGATCTACCGGAAAAGTCTATGTATTTAGCAAATTTAATTCTCCCATAGGTTTAAACTTTAATTCATCATAAAATTTACAGAGCAAAGAATAGAGTCAAATACAGAAATAAAGACAACCAATCAGTAGGGCATGGTGGCACATGTACACAATCTCAGAATTGAATCTCAGGGCTGAAGCAAGAGGATCAACCACAAAAAGCCAACCTGGTCTACATTCTGAATTTCAGGCCAGAGAGGGCCTACATAGTAGGTCTCTGCCTCGACACTCCCCTTGCCACCCTACAAAAGAATAAAACAACACACACACACACACACACCTCAGAAATAGATAGGCTGGCTTTTTACTTTCTACTGCTGTGTGTGTGTGTGTGTGTGTGTGTGTGTGTGTGTGTTTAATGAGATGGGGGTGGGGCTCACATAGCCTAGGTTGGCCTTTAAAAGAAATTCTCATTTTCTTAGTACCACAAGATGTATTTTCTTTTTAAACTATCTATTTATTCTTCTTTTCTTTATTCAGTAGGTATTAAATAAAGAGTATTTTTCTGTCTTCAGTGCAGGTTCAATGTCCAGAACAGTTATACATCAAACACAATTATACCACATTCCCATTTCATGTGCAACTTCAGCAAAAGTCATGCCAATTGTAAATGTAAATGACCAAGGAAATAAAGGCAAACTGCCCATATACAGTAGTTCCTCCTTTTTAATACTCATCAGCAAAAACTACAAACTATCTTACACATGAGGCCCTTACTTGAACTCCCCATACCAAAAAAAAAAAAAACCCAAAAAACACCCCAGTTTGTATCCATAGTTTTTTTTTTAATTTGCTCAAAATTTTAAAATTAGAGAGTTAAAGGTACTTGCTGTACTTGAGGAGGACCTGCATTTGCTCCCAGCACCTATATTAAATCCAAGTTTGGGAGATCTGACACCTCTTTCTGGCCTCCTTGGGCATCTTCCCTCATATATGCATATATATGCATACACAAACATATTCTTAAATATAAAATCTTTTAGAAAAAAAATGGAAGGATCAGAGTTTTACCTGAGAAAGATCAATGAAATGATTGGCTTCCGCCATCACCTTCACTCGGAAGTTTGTTCCATCATCCGGGCTCAAGGCATAGCAGAATACCTGGAAGGCAGGAGGGAACAGTACTCAATAATCTTTGCTCCAACCTTCTCAAAAGGGTGAGCTTAAAGCTGAAGATGATGGTATAAAGATACCAAAAAAACTACTCTTACCTCAAACTTATCAGGATTATGCATGCCTGGAATAGACTGCATAAGGTGTGAAGTAGGGTGATTCCCAAAGTCAGAACTCACATAGCCTACACGCAATCGGCCATCACTGAGCTTCAAGTCTTTCGGATGTTCATACGGTGGTTTATGAAGGACATTAATCTACCAGCAGAATAACAATGTTCATTAGGAAAATCAAGTCATGTGTAAATTTTTATCTAAAAAATCTGGCTGGGCAGTGGTGGCGTACACCTTTAATCCCAGCACTTCGGAGGCGGAGGCAGGCAGATCTCTGATTTTGAGGCCAGCCTGGTCTACAGAGTGAGTTCCAGGACAGCCAGGGCTACACAGAGAAACCCTGTCTCAAAAAACCAAAAAACAAACAAGAAAAATCTGAAAGCCGGGACTGTTGATAAAGCTCAGTTGATAGCATGCTTTGTCTAGCACATATAAAAAAGCCCAGAACTACATAAAAACCAGGTATGTGGTGTCCATCTTTAATCCCAATCCTCAGGAGGCCGAGACACATGGATCTTTGAGTCTACACACTGGGTTACCAGCCATCCAGTGGGATGTAGTGAGACAAAACAAACAACAAAATAATAAACAGACATGTTGGTGCACCCCTGGGAGCCTGTAATTGTGAGGTGGAAACATAAAGGATCTGAAGTTCTAAGTGACCCTCAGCTACATAGAGTTTAAAGCCAACCTAAAATACATGAAACCTATGTTGGAAAAAAGTAAAATAAATGAAGGCACAAATCTAAAATTGGAGCTGGAGAGATGGCTCATCAGTTAAGAGCACTGACTGCTCTTCCAGAGGTCCTGAGTTCAATTCCCAGCAACCACATGTGGGCTCAGAACCATCTGTAATGGGATCTGATGCCCTTTTCTGGCCTATAGATGTATATGCAGCATAGCACTCATAAATAAACTTAAAAATATCATATACACCCACATCTATGAAAAAAAATTTGGACAGCAAACATCATTTAATTCATGTGGCCTGTTTGATGTCACCAGCAGTTTAGGTCAGCAGTTATGTGACAGGTGCACAGTGTATATGCTTCATGCATGACCTGTACTGAGACCTATGAAACAGCCTGAACAGATCTCAAACTTCTAGGAATGAAGAAATGTGAATGGAGCCGGGCGGTGGTGGCGCATGCCTTTAATCCCAGCACTTGGGAGGCAGAGGCAGGCAGTTTTCTAAGTTCGAGGCCAGCCTGGTCTACAGAGTGAGTTCCAGGACAGCCAGGGCTATACAGAGAAGCCCTGTCTCGAAAAACAAAAAAACAAAAAAACAAAAACAAAAAAAAAACAAAAACAAAACAACAAAAAAAAGAAATGTGAATGGAGTATGATAAACCTTAGTATTTTAGGATATTCTGTGGAGAAACATTTTTCGGGAAAAAAAAAGAAGGAAGGAGGGAGAGAGAGGGGAGAGAAAGAAGGGGAGGAAAGGAGGGAAGAGAAGGGGAAGAAAAAGAAAGGGAGAGGGAAGGAGGGGGGAGGGAGGG